TAGAGCCTATTTGGGGGCTGTGCATCAGAAGATCTTCCAGCTGCACTGGGATATCATTTATATAAAGGTTAAAAAGAGTAGGGCCCAGCAGGCAGCCCTGCCTCACTCCTCTAGTTGTCGGTATGCTGTTTGTTGAGGCCTCATTTGCTGCATATCTGACTCTAATTGCTGTATTAGTATAGAGAGTCCTGATCAACAAAATAAGTCTGGGGTCCATCCCCATGACTTGTAGTTTCCTCCACAGATGGTTCCTATCTATAGAATCAAAAGCAGCTGTAAGGTCAATAAAGGCGGTATACAGCTTTTTCCCCTGGGTCTTGTATTTATTAATTAAGTGGGAAAGGACAAAACAATTGTCAATGGTAGACCTACCTGATCTAAAACCTGCCTGCTCATTTGCCAGAATTTCCTTATCCAAGCACCAGTCCTCTATTTTATTTAGCAGATGTTTCGTATACATTTTTGAAATTATATTAAGAAGACTGATGGGTCGGTAGTTGGATGGGGCGGCTCTGTCACCTTTCTTAAAAATTGGAAAAAATATAGCTAACCTCCACCCTTCAGGGATTATCCCTACTTTATCGATATAAGTAAACAGTGCTACCAGCACCGGTACCCAAAAGTCAATGTTGGACCTAAAGAGTTCAGGAGGCAGCAAGTCCTCTCTAGGGGCCTTCCCGGCCTTTAAGGATTGAATTATATGTTTAACTTCGGTAGAGGTAACTGGTGTCCATTCCGGACATTTCCTTAATTCCTGCTGGAGATTATCCAGTTGCAAGACATTTGTTGTATTATTACCATCAAATAAAGCAAGATAGTGCTTCTCCCATTTTACTGCTGATATATCAGTGTCCATAAATGGGGAACGTTGTTTTAATATACCGGCTATTTTATGCCAAAAGATCATAGGGAATTGGGATTTCGCTGCCATTTCTACCTCTTTCCACATCCTGGTATTATAGCTACTTTTCTTGTTTTTCAGGAAGGATTTGTATGCTCTCCTGAGTTGAACCATATTTGAATAATCACCATCCTGTCTGGATCGGTTAACTTTCTTAACTGCGGCTCTTAGATTTGACCTCAAGCTATGGCAATCGTCATCAAACCACTTTCTAGAGATCCCATCTACTTTTCTATCATTCTGGATCATTAAGTTCTTAAGAGTAGAAGTTAGCTCTATATAAACTGGCATTGGGGTGTTGTCTCCGGGCTTAGATTGGGAGATTTCCCTTGCTAGGTGTCTGGCTTTGTCTGAGCCCAAATAAGTGGTCACAGATTTGACATCAAGTCTGTGCCAATATAACCTTTTGTAGTTATAAACCCGGGCGTTTACTAAGGTGTCAATTTCCTCTCTTGAATGAGGCCTAACTTCTGAAGAGAGTGAAACTAGAGCCGTGATGGGAAAGTGGTCACTTTCCTCTCTAAATATAGCTCTTACATCTGAAAATTGTGTACTAAACTAGAGGAAGTGCAGATATAATCGATAGAGGTTGATGTTTTGTTGGACGAGAAAGTATAGGGATATATATACCCATCACTCAAGCCACTAAGTACTTGCATATCATTCATAAACAGCAGGGAAATTAACCTCTGGGCATATTTATTGGTCCTCTTGTCCATTGAGGACCAGGTGAACTCATTATAAAAGTATCCAGTTGGTACCAGGCCTCGGTTAGCATAGCTCTTCATTGAGGGGCCTAGTCTTGCATTAGTATCTCCAGCTAATATAATTTTTGCTTGGGGAAAGCGTCCCTTCAAGGTAGCTAATACTGAATCTAATTCATCCCACAAATCCCTTCCTAGAAGATGGAATGAAAAAGGAGTGATATATACATTAATTAAGATTAAGTCCATCCCCCTGAACGAAAATCTAATAGGCAGAATATATTGGAATTGAGGGTCTAAAGAAATTTCTTCACCCTTCCATCCCGTATCCCTTTTGACCATCGTGGTTAAGCCCCCAATTGACCTCCCTCTTAAATTGACTTTGCCTGCCGGTTTATGCCATGAGGCAAAGCCTGGTAAGCTGATCTGTGGATCATTAGTAGTCAGCCAGGTTTCTTGAAGGAGGATGAGATGATGTGTTGAAATCAGTTTTATAAAATCCGTCCGGTTTGCAATGCCTTTCCAGCCCGCTATATTCCAGGACAGGAGGGAAAGGCTAGGGATATAAGATACCCTAGTTATTGGCCATTTGTTGTCTAGTCAATCACCCTGAGGCACTACTCCTTGTGTCTCTTCCTCCACCCTTCTGGTGGAGGGGTCCGGAATTACTACCACCGCCTTCTCTGGAGTGCCAAAAGAGTCAAAAGTGGCCTCTGATTGTTGTGGAAATGCCTCCCCCGTTCTTAAGGAAGATGAGACAGGTGAGGACAGTTGCACAGTTGGGGGAGGGTGAACTTCTGCCACTACATTCATGGTCTTTGTTTCTTTGAAAAGTCTTTTGCCTTCCCTTCTATCCCGCTGGACGGACTTAACAACTTTAGGCCTTGTCTGAGCATGCTTTCCCCGTTCTTCCAACTTGGATAGCCTTCTCGTTGAACTGCAGGCTTCTGCTAGTGAAGATCTTAATAAGTCAAATTCAATTAACATCGACCTTTGCTCCTTTGGAGACAAGGAGACAAATTCGCTGATTATAACATCCTCTGGCTTGTCGGTGCTTGCCTTCATATGTGGGACCTCCCTGGTCTGGCCTGCCTCCATAGCTTCTCTGGATTCTAGAGGAAAGACCCTGGAGGTAGCAGAGTGGTTCCTAGGTACCATTTTTGATGTTTGGTTAAGTCCTTGTAAAAGCGGTTTAATAGGCCCACTCGAGAAGACTCTTGTAGGAATGACTTCAAATCTGAGCAGGAATCCTTTTCTTTTCATTACAGCATTCGGAATAGTATTGCTGTCAAAATGCAGTATTAGTCGAACACAATTGCTATGCTGGGGAAGTTTTTCATATCTGAGTAGATCTATTAATAAAGGATCAGATTTCAATAGCTGTGCAAGTGAGAGGATTATCCTTTTCTTTGAAGTCCATCGTCCTCTATTGCATGGGATTTTCCTTATCCTTAAAACAATTTGTTTCTTTAACAACCTTCTTCCTTTTTTTTTTTTTTTTAAAATTTGATTTATATGCCGCCCTTCTCCGAAGACTCAGGGCGGCTTACAATGTGCTCAGCAATAGCCTTCATCCTTTTGTATATTTATACAAAGTCAGCTTATTGCCCCCACAAACTGGGTCCTCATTTCACCTACCTTAGAAAGGATGGAAGGCTGAGTCAACCTTGAGCCTTGGAGAGATTCGAACCCTGCAGTAATTGCAGGCAGCTGGTCTTAATAAGCTTAATAACAGGGTGCCTTAAACCCCTGTAGTACCAAGGCTCTTCCTTGATGAGGGTTAGCATCAGTACTTGCAATGCTTTGTTGTTTGGGTTGAGGTCTTAAACCCTTCCACTCTCTCCGCGCGTCAGGATGGTGTGCAATCTCACCCTCCTTAGCTGCAGAGTGAGGGCCATTTAAGAATTGGAAGATCCTCTTGATGTCTCTTTTGATTGATGTCAGTAAGTCATATATTGAATGTACTGTGTGCGCAGTTAACATACTCTGAGTACAGACCATCTTTCTGAGGTCTGAATATGTCGGAACTTCTTTTAAACAGCTAGAAATAGGAGAGGGGATAAAGCTTGAAAAGTCACCCATTCTAGCAGGCAAGTTTAAATCTGAAATCCAGGAAGAAAGCTCCCTTTCTGTATCTCCCTCTCCCAATGATACAGTCAACAGAGACAAAGTTCGAAGTTCAGATTAGGGTTCTGGATTACACCTCATCCAATTTAAGCTGTTTAAGAGGCTTGGAGTAATTAAGTTCTGTCATAGATTTTGGGGAGAGAGAGTAAGCTCTCTGCCTCTTACTTTTCTTTACTATTCTGGTAGATAGTTGGTCCAGTATCTCCCAGCAAAATTAAATATCGCAACAATTTATCCTCCCTCGGCAATCGTAGTTAAGGTAGGCCTTAATGATGGTCTCAGCCGAGGCACCACAGAGGTAAAAACCAATCTCCTTTTCAAACAACGGCTTGTCTTTTACTCCCACTTCTTTGCTATCATCTATTTTCAGAATTGTTTAAATTGTTTAAATTATTTCACAGGGGAAATATGTGGGAGAAAGAGACTAAAAAGCTGATAGAGCTTCATTAAAAGCAGGCCTACCGGGAGCGTCTGCAGCCAGCCAGTTTCTTACTGTACTCGTTCCAAAAACAAACAGCTCAAAATCCCCTCCGAGGTTAGGAGCCTCCACTGAGGTTTGTCAACAAGTCCGGTAATCCGAATTTCAGGCCTTGCAAGGAGAAGTCACAGGAGTAGCCTAAGCCAGGAATGCAGGTTGTAGTACTGTTAAAATATGTCTAAAACAAACGGTAGCCACACTATATGTGCTTTGTAAAAGTCCAGTATAAATTAAAAATAGATTAAAAATGAATTAAAAATATAAAAATACTTTAAAAACGTTAAAAAAGAAAAACCTAATTTGCTTTTGGGAGAGCTCCTTACAGCCGTTGCTCACCTTCCCTGAATGTTGTGTAGAAATGCATAGTATATAGGGGCCAAAATAGCATATAGTGCATAGGGGGGAGCATAGAGGGGTGGTAAAGTATGATATAATATAATGTGGACGGATTTCACCTTGGGGAAGAAAAATTGGTTTTTGTAAAACTTTTTCAATAAAAAAAAAAGTTACAACGACACTGAAAAAGTAACTTTACAACTGTTCCTTGCACTTAGGATGGTTGCAATATTCTCCTGGTGAGTTATTGCCATTTGCCTGCTCCAAAGCTGGCTTCTTTAATAGTTAATAAAGAAGTTGACAGTATAATCACAAGTTGAAATCACATGATGTCTCACTTAACAACCACTACTTAGCAACAGAGTTAGCAATCCTTGTATTTTCCCCCCAGTTATATGGAAATATTTGATGTGGATTGAAAAACCATGATCATTTACAGTATTCTTACTCCTAGATAAAAGGAAAAAGGACTTTGGCAGAAAACATTGCGGACAATGGAGGGTTGCGAGAGGCTTTTCGGGTAGGCAGTTCTTTTTGTCTAAATGCAGACCAATACATGGTCCACCCCCACATACCCCAGTATAATATTATATTATATTGGTGAAACCTGCACTGCCTTCAATGTGTTCATTATATCTCTCCTCAGGCCTATAGGAAATGGGTCAAAGAAAAGAGACAAGGAGAAGAAGAGGCTGTACTACCAGGCATTGACTTCACCCATAATCAGCTCTTCTTTCTGAGTTATGCTCATGTGAGTAGTACACAATCAGAATGGATACACATATTTAGCTGTTCACTGTATCGTGAGTAGACAAGTCTGCTTGATTACCAAAAGAATGTCATTTTCATAAATTGTAGATTATTACCAGTCCCTTCCCTTAGAAACAAATTACAAGGCCTCTCTTCAGATTCTTCTTTCTGCAATACCTTACCAAAAAGATGTAAAGTACATTTCAGTTCCGCTTCCTAACTGATGGTTTCTTTCTTTCTGGCTTTCTAGTTGCTGAAGAGAAAGAAATTTAAAAGGCAGCCCAAGTTCCTTTTTATAGCACAATGTTGGATGGCTTTGTGCATGATTTGTCTCTGATTTACATAGGCTACAGAGTACAGACAACTACGTCTGTCATTGGTTACAAGCTGGATCATGAAAGAGGTTCAGAATTATTTAACCAGTTCTTTTATCTAATTATCTAATTATATATCTTAGGTGAGGTGCAATTCATTTAAACCAGAAGCTGCAAGAGAACAAATCTACACTGGAGTTCACAGTCCCCCTCAGTTCAGGTATTTTCAGTTGCTTCCTTTTTTCCCAATTGCCATAATACAGAAAATCAGGCAAGTATAATAAAAATAATATAAACAGCTATTCTGATCAGTTTAGAAATGTGACAATTTCTTTTAACCACTCTGTTGTTCTGCAAGAACTCATACATTAATGTATGTACTTCTCTCCTTCACTTTATTTTCCATCTTGATATTTATATTGCTTCATTTCCAGAGATTTGTTTTTCCAGCCTCAAGAAGTTGATTAGTAGAAGGGAGATAAATTTGGGTGGGGAAAATGTTTTTCTTCTTTCCAGGTAGTAGTTTCTCTTCTCTGTAACATTTAGCTTTGTGGATTTTCATTTATTAATGTTTATTCTAGTATTCTGAATCTAAGTGTAGCATTATAATCATAGATATGGGTCAACTGACCCCACATGTCAACACATTAAATCTGGTCTAGAAATGTAGGTAAGAAGGATTTTTTTCTTTTTTTTGCAAATGCACACACCCAAATGTTTATACAATTGAAGGCAATTCTTGCTTATGTCTATTCTGGATCCAGCAAAAGCGTGTGCATTTTAGGATGCTGTGAAATAGGACTCTCTTGACCCAACAGCACAATTTCATTACCCAAACTGTTCCATTATTTCTGTGGGGTGAATGTTTTACACTGATTTTTATTTGTTCTGCTGTATTTTAATGCTGTATTTTATTTTTTTAATGTTTTGAGTATCACCTAGAGACTGTAGGAAGCTTAAATAATTATGATAAAATATATTATTATATAAAATTATAATTAATGAAATAGTATTTTAAGTTATTATTTTTTGAAATCATCAGCCTTTCCTAGAACAAGAATTTCTATTGCAATTTTTAATGCAATTTCCTGCCAATATTTAAAGAAAAAATGTATTCAACATCCAACAGATTAACAGAGTTGGAAGGGAATTTATAGGTCATCTAGTCCAACCCCCCTCCCAAGCAGGAGACCCTACACCATTTCTCACAAATGGCAGTCCAGTCTATTCTTGAAAGCTTCCAGTGATGAAACTCCCACAATGTCTGAAGGCAAGCTGTTCCATTGGTTGATTGCTCTCACTGTCAGAAAATTTCTCCTTATTTCTAGGTTGAATCTCTCCTTCATCAGTTTTCATCCATTAGTCCTTGTCTGGCCTTTGGGTGCTTTGGAAAATAGCTTGACCCCCTCCTCTCTGTGGCAGCCCCTCAAATATTGGAACACTGTTGTTAAGAAATTCTCAGAGCAACCCTTGAGTAGCAAGGGTGTGCACATGAAAGCAATTGAGAGTAGTTAGGAATAAACACAACCAACACAGAGATACACTGAGTTGTGTTTACTTTTAGGAAATAGCAATAAGGCACAGTCCAAATAACAGTCCAGGTCATACACGTATAAAGCAGTAGATAGTAAAACAATAGTCCAGGGATAATCCAATAACAAAGTCTTCTTACCAGTCATTGTAGTCATATACAATAAATAGTTGCAGCAAACACAGCAAATAGCAGTAAAGAGCACACAGCAAACAGTCAGCAAAAAGAAACAAACCATGTTTCTAGCTCCCTCTTAAGGACATTGGCTACAGAGCTAACCAATCAGGACACAGCATGATGCAATACAGCAATACAGCAGTCTTAAAGCTATATCAATGGTTGCCAACCCAACAAGTTAGGTAATAATCATTTCCTAACATTCTCCCCTTTGGGTAGGACGATATATAATACCTTACATTCTTAAACCATACTTTTCACAACATGCTTTGTGCTTAATTGCACCCTGAGCCTTCGTGAAATGATCTGCAATATTATGTTCAGTCATGCAGCACTCTAACTGAATCAATTTTCTTTTTACACACTGTCTAACGTTTAAATATCACAAATCAGTATGCTTAGACCGTGTTTTTACAGCTAAATTAGTAGCCATATTGATTGCAGATTGATTATCTTTGTAAACTATAAACAGATCATTCACATTCAATCCTATATCAATTAAAAGTTGTTTATAATATACTAATTCAGTGCATATCAAGGATAAACATGAAAATTCGGCTTCCATAGTTAATAAAACTAATATGCTTTTGTCTAATGGATTTCTATGCTATCAAAACATTACCCAACATTACCACGATACCTGATGTTGATTTACGAGTAAGTAAATCAGTTGCAAAACTTGCATCAGCATATGCCGTTAATACTAAGTCATTACTAGGCTCCAAATATAACGAATAATGAATCGTTTGCTTCAGATATCTAAGTATTTGCTTAGCAGCTTTCCAGTGTCTTTCAGTAGGTTCAGCATTATATCTAGCAAGTTGGTTCACACTATATGATATATCTGGCCTAGACCAATTACTTAAATATGATAGACTGCCTATTAAGGATTGATATATTTCCTTATCAAATACAGGACTTTGAATAGTACTATGTTTAAAATCCTGATTCATTGGTGTTTTAGCAGACTTACAGAGTTTCATATTATAATGTTTCAGCAATTGGCTAATTTTCTTGGCTTGCAAAATTTTGTAACCTTTACTAATTTTAACTACCTCAGGACCAAGATAATGCTTAATTTCTCCTAAATTCCTAATTCTGAACTTCTTTTGCAACATAGAAACAATTTTGGTTGCTTCGTGTTCAGATTTTGTTATAAGCACTATGTCATCAGTAAATAGCAACAATAAAGAAAATAAACCATCTTTCTCTTTCTAGAACAAACATGGATCAGCTATACTAGCTACAAAACCCATAGCAACTAGCTCATTAACAATACATTTATTCCACTCGTAACCAGACTGCTTTAAGCCATAAAGACTTTTCTTCAGTCTCCAGCAATCAGTCTTCCCATCAATATTCAAACCTAGTGGCTTCTTCATATAGATTGTATGTTGTAATGGTGCATGCAGATATGCAGTTTCAACATCTATATGATTTATCCTGTATTTATTCTTAGCTGCCCACACTAATGCTGCTCGCAAAGTAGTCGCCCTGAGACTCGGTGCAAACACTTCATCATAGTCCTTATCTGACTTAGCAAATCCTTGAGCAACTAATCTTGCCTTATGGGTAACAGCCACACCAGTTTTTAGTTTATAAACCCACTTTCAATCAATTTCATGCTCACCTGGTGGTAACCTAACGTTCTCATAAACATCTAACTCCTTTAATGATGTCAACTCTTTGTCTATCGCTATCTTCCAAGCTATCTGATCCTTTTCAGGATACAGTTTAATTTCATTAAAGTTAGATGGCTCTATGTTCATCTGATATACAATACTGGCTTGATACCTATCAGGTGGACGTTTCTCTCGAGTTGAACATCTAGGTACCTCAGGACTCAGTATAGATATTTCCTCTTCTATCTCCCCTATAACCTCCTCCACCTTTACAGTAATAAAAGGTTCTTCCTCAATTATCTCATTATCATGGTTATCATTAAACATTTGAGTATCCACAATAACACTATCATTTACCTTGTCAGATTCCTGTTCAAGCTTACTCCAACCAACATACTCCAGGAAGTTGGCACTAGCACTGCAGTACACACTAGTGGTACCTGGTGACCAAAATCTATATGACCTGCAGTTGGATTCATAACCAACAAAAAATAGCTTCTTTGCTCTATGTTGCCCCTTTCGCCTCAATTGCGAAGGAATATGAACCCATGCTGGGGCTCCAAATGTGTGCAAATAACTCAATTCTGGTCTTCTACCATGCCAGCGTGTGAATGATAATTCACCAGTTGTTGAATTAACTACGTTATTCAAAACATGGTTAGCACACATTATTGCCTCATCCCAAAGTGTCTCAGGCAAACCAGAATCAGATAACATGGTTCGAGCCATAGCCTGCAACGTTTGCCCTCTGCATTCAATATACACATTATGTTGTGGTCTATAAGGGGCAGAACACTTGTGTTCAATGGCAGCTTTCTGTAACATATTTGCAAACCTGTTATTGGTAAACTCAGTACCATTGTCAGTTACCAGGCAAAGAACCTTGCATTTCTTTTTCCTCTCAGCAAACCTCAGCCAGTTTGAAAAATGCTGGAATGTTTCTGCTTTGGTTTTCATAAGGTAACAGAAACCATAACAGGAAAAATGGTCTTTTATGCTCAATATATAAATGGCTCCTCCTAAACTAGGTTTTTTAGGACCAATAATATCTGCAAACACTACCTCTAAAGGTTCATTGGTTGTAAACCCATTAACTCTGTTTGCAGGAGTTACCTTATTCTTTTCTTGGCTACACACATTGCAGTTTAAATATTGTTTACAAGATTTTAGTTTTATCCCATCAGATAATTCCACAGTTTTCTTTAACATTTTAAAGTTTACATGTCCCAAACGCCTATAAATCAAGTGAATGCATTCATCATGTTGCTTCCTGCTATCGTAAACTGAGTTAGTATTAGCCATGATTAATGGATCATCTTTCAGAACAAACAAATCATTCTCTAACTTTGCAGTAACACTTGTACCATCTTTTTCTATCATACATTTATCTCCCCTAAATGTTACTACAAACCCAGCTTTTAACAATGCTTTCACACATAGCAGGTTAAATTTTAATTTAGGTACATACAACATAGGTAAATGCTCATTTATACATGAACAATATGCAGTACAGGGGTGAAATCTAAAATTTGTTACTACCGGTTCTGTGGGCGTGGCTTGGTGGTGGTGGTGAGTAATGTGACTGGGTGAGTGTGGCCAATTTTTTTTTTTTTTTACTTTTAAAACCATTTTTTCTACAACCTCTTCAGCTAAGAGGTTGTAAAAAAATGCTTTCAAAAGGCTCTGACGATCCAAGCTGAGTTCCCTGATCAGGGAGCTCAGCTTGGATTGTCAGAGCATTTTAAAAAAAGAGGGGGGGTTTCTTTTAAATGCTCTGACGATCTGCCGATCAACTCAGCTGGGATCGTCAGAGCATTTTTTTTTTAAAAAAAAAACCTTTTGTTCTTTTATGCTCTGACAATCCAAACTGAGTTCCCTGAAAGCCTCTGC